TGGTGCAAGGGGCTTGAGGGGACATTTGCTAAATGAAATGTAAACCCTTGTTCTGGTGGCTGCCAAGAAGAGAGAGGTAGCTGATGAAAACCATATGTCCCTGAGTAAGTGACGCGGAGCCCTGCTCGGTGCACGTGCATGCTAAAGACGTTGCTGTTGGTCTCCCATGCAATGGAAAAATCTCCTATTTTAAAGAATACAGTGTTAAGAGGTGCTCTGAGACAAACCACATTTCACAATTAGGTAGTTTACAAGGTCAGTAAAGGAAGGAGAAAATAAACCAGCCAGAAAGGTCTTGCTCAACAAGAAAAAAATGTGTTTGAAAGTTCAATGTTACGGTCTCAAATTGTAACATGGGCTCTTTCTATACTTTGGTTTAAAACAACAACAAAAAACCCCAGAGACAAACCTTTGCAGGGATGGAGAAACAGTTGGAAGTAACTGAAGTGAGGGCTAAAGAGATGGTGCAAAGGTTAAGAGAGCTTTGCTGCTCTTGCAGAGGAACCAGGTTTGGTTCCCAGAAAAAACAAAAACACCTGTTATATCCAGTTTCAGGGGACCCAGCTCTCTATTTTGGCCTCCCTGGGCACCTTCATCCATGTCCACGTGAATGAGCTCTCTCTCTCTCTCTCTCTCTCTCCACACACACACACACACACACACACACACAAAGTGCGTGCATGCTTAAGAAAGTAAAAATAAGGGCTGGAGAGATGGCTCAGTGGTTAAGAGCACTGACTGCTCTTCCAGAGGACCCAGGTTCAATTCCCAGCACCCACATGGCAGCTCACAACTGTCTGTAACTCCAGTTCCAGGGTATCTGGCACCCTCGCACAGACATACATGTAGGCAAAACACCAATGTACATAAAATAAGAAGTAAAAATTAATCCTAAAAATCTTTTTAAAAAACAAAAGTGACTGATATACTTGAGTGATTATTGCATCTCCTGATGTTTTAAAACAGTGTTGATTTAAAAAAATGAAAACTATCAGTTTTAAAACTTGTTTTAAGTTGACCTTGAAGCAAACTAAAACAAAGCAGACAAACATCTCTACTATTCATCCTTAGTCTGAGGAAGAAAATTCAGATTTCTTCATCTGACACCCAAGTTCCAGCGTGGCAGGGGATCTGCCTGGGGTTTTTGATACAAAGAACCTATCACTGGCCCTGCCTCCCATCTGCCATCCATCCAGTTTGTAAGTTGGACCTGTTGGGCATCATAGCTACCTGCTTTCCCCCGGGGGTACCCTTCCTCCTGACTACAGAGAAAAACTGTTAACTTTTGTGTGTGTGTGTGGGTGTGTGTGTGTGTGTGTGGTGGGGGGGTAGGGGGTTGGAGGTGGAGAGGGTGAGGGGTAGGGGTGTGGAGGTGGGGGTGATGGGGTCCTAGGGATCGAACCCAGGACCTCGTGCATGCTAGGCAAGCCCTCTGACATGGAGCTATACCCTCAGGCCTTGTTAGCCATTTTTAAAAGATACCAGTTTCCAAATTCTATGTATTATATCATTTCCACCTGCTCCTTTTGATTCCAGTTCCCTGTGAAATTCTGCACCTCGTCATCTATTTTCTTAACCGTATTAATCACAGCTATTTTAAAGTCTAGATCAGAAAAGCCCAAGATCTGGATCCCCTGTGGGGTGTTTCTATTATGGAGATGTTCTGGGCTCTGACTGATGTTACCTCTCATCACAGAAGATTTATTTTTGCCTTCCTGAAGGCCGTCAGGAAAGCGGAAGGTCACCCTAATCCAGCCTGGGATTGGGCTGCTATGATGCTGGCGGTCAGACTGGGAGCTGTTCTATTTCTGGCTCACCCTTCCTCCTGCTGCCTAACCTCTCTGGGGTTCTGGGTGCAAGCCTGCTTCTTTGTTAAGGCCCTTCCTCTTAGGTGGGCTACTAAGTCCAAGAGTGTCTTCCATGGCTCACAGAGCTGTTAACGATTCTTCTTCCGGGTTCCCCACCTCTCAGTCACAGACTGCTACTTGCACTAGGAGGCTGCCCTGAGCACTGACTTGTGTGTGTGCTTCATTTCTCCCAGAGTTCCTGGCCCTCAGATCTTCCTTGCCTTGTAGATTGACCTTCACACTTATTTCCCTACCTTGGGGGATGGCAGAACCCTCCCACTAACCCCTCACTTTCTGCTTGCACTGTAGCTCTGTCATGCCTTGATCGCCAGCTGCTCAAGAATGAACAGGACTGAGTGTCACCTCTGTATGCTTCCCCCTGGGGGACTGAACCCCTCCAGTACTGACAACCTTCAAGTAGGTGGCTTTGGATTTTACTTCCAGTGGGAAGGCTGGCCTCTGATAGGCTATTCTGCCAACCCAGAAAACAGGGTGTAGAACTTGCTTCCTTAGAACTATGGGTGAGCAGGAGCCCTGTCTTTTCCACCCTGGGATTCCTAGCTGATCTCACCTGTAGCTTTCAATGCCAGCTATGCCCAGACATTCCCTAATGTCTGTCTATAGCCTGGAGCTTTGTAATGACCTAAGTCCTAATATCTCTTGTCATCGTCCCATATGTGCTGCATAGACACCACGAATAATGCATTTCAAATCTTGTTTTTCCATCAGCAACTCTTCAGCATTCCCTCCCTGCTGCTATCTGGAATCCTGAGGGTCACACACGGTTCATGCTCCCTCCCCTCCAATACACCATCCCTCTTGAGTTGTCATATGAAGTCATTGAGTCCCGTCTGACATGGACAACCTTGTCCCAGCCATCCTGTGGCTTACTCCGTAGTCTCCTCACACTTCTCCCCAGCACAGTCGCCAGTCACCCTCTGAGGAAGCGAGCCCTTGAAAACAGAAATAAGATTATGTCATTTCTCACCGTTACTCCCTACAAAGACTTCCCAGTACTTTTCACAGAGAGCTCTGATGGCCATCTGCCCCAAGCCATCTCCTGTGGTGCTCTCCTGGCTCTTGCCCTTGACTCGTCAACTCAACAGCCTTCTCTGTTCTTCCAGCACCTCGTTTCATTTTGGGGGTCCTTCCCACATTGTGGTGATATCTTGCTTGTACAAATAAAGCTAGTCTGAAGATCAGAGAGGGTGGAGCCAGCCACTAGTTAACCATAGAGGTCCAGAAGTCTATACAGACAGACAGGAAGTGAGATGGCTGGGTAGAGAGAGGATATAAGTGGGAAGAAACAGGAACTTGGTCTCTTTTCTACTGGGAAGCTTAATGAGGTAAAGGTGGGTTTGGTGTGCTCCTTATTCTCTCTGATCTCTCAGCATTTTCCTCTATATCTGACTCCAGGTTTTTTACTTCTTAGACCAATTAAGAACTCCATTTACACCACATGCTCCTCCATTCCCAGGGAGCACTTTCCCTCATGTCTGCCTCTGCTATTGTTCTCTTAGGTCTAGCTCGATGTCCCCTCCTTGGAGGAGCCTCCCTGAGCTCTGGATGAGTTATACAATTGTTATATTACTGCCATGCTATTCCCTGCTCTTTGGCCACGGTGTGACTCCATAGATAATTCAATGATCATCAACTCAGTTTCCCCTCGACGAAGTCTAACTTCTCAAGGCCAGCAACTGTGTCTGTCTTGCTCACCATTATCTCCAACACTAGTAAAGCACCTGGGACACCTCAGAAGGGTCAAAAATAACCTTGGGAATAAATTGATACTAGGCAAGGACAGGTAGGCACTACTCTCAAGCCCTAGCCACCAAGCAGAAGTACAGAAGGGAACACTCAGTAGAAAGGTAACTGGGGAGAATTAAGCTAACAGGTATCCGAGTGGGGCACATGGGGAGCTAGCACAATTTGGAATGATTTCTGAGGTTGTCCTCTGGCCTACACACACACACACACACACACACACACACACACATACACACACACGAGGGTGGGGGAGGGGTGGGGAATTCACTAGCTAAGACAGTGCTAATGTTGAGTGTGCAGCATGGGATAGGAGACCACAGCACAGAGGTCCAGTCCCAGGCCTGCTGCATGGTTCACAAGGTATTGGCATAGATAGGATCGATATTAGATCGATTCTGTGACATCCAGAAAGCAACCCACCCTTCAAGGTCTATAGACAAGGAGACAATGGGCTTCCAGGACCAGTCGGGCTATTTTACCCTGTGTCCCACCTTGGACCTCAGCCTGCTTCTTGGTAAAGCCGAAGTCCTCAAAGGCTGGTGGCTAAGGTTTGTCTATGACATTTGCAAATTAAAAGCTCAAGCCATTCCAATGACAGAGCATGATTTTGGAGTTCCCTTTCTTGTCACGCAGCTGCTCCCCGCTTTCTTGGTACCTTCTAGCATGGTGTCAGATGAAAGCAAACTCTGATACAGGACCATTTTTTAGGTCTTTTGAGAGTTGATCCCAGAGTTGAGAGACAGGCAGGAGAGAGGCTCCTAGTCCACCTGGAAGAGCTTGGACTTCTACCTACACCTGCAGGAGCCATAGAACTGTCTCTATGAAGCTCCAGCCAACACCCGGTGAAGGTCATCCAAAACCATCAGCTTAACTTTCAGCTGTCCTCTATACACAGCTTACAGAGATTAATTAATCAATTAATTAAGAATGTATTATGTGCCTGTATATCTGTGTTCCATACTGTTCAGTGGTGTCAGATCCCGTGGAAACAGAGTTACAGACAGTTGTAAGCCACCATGTGGGTGCCAGGAATGGAACTCAGGTCCTTTGCAAGAGCACCTGGTACTATTACCAGCTCAGCCATCTCTCCAGTTCTCAAGATTTCTTTTCTAATAGAAGATTCCAAGGCAGAAATTGAAGGTTGAAGAGCTCATGGGGAAATTCAGTCACTGGGAGATGGCTTAAGCTCACATAGACCTGTTCACGTGACAGTGCCCGAAACCAGGGTGTAATGTGGGGCACCAGAGCATCTGATGCAAGTTGGAGAAGGACAAGGCCACCCTTGTCCAGGGCCCCAGAACATTTCCTCTGTCCTCTGTCCCCAGCCTTTCATGCTCTTTGAATGTCAAGGATACTCACCCCCCCCCTTTGTTTTTCTCTGAGGAGGTTTTCCGTATCCAGTACCATTGAAGACAGGGGTGTGTTATCCAGGCTAAGAAAAGCATTGGGAAGCAAACAGCTGTGGTTCTCTAGCCAGTGCCTGAGTGACAGCAGGCTGGATACTGGGATGGAGTATCCTGAACCAGGCAAAGCAGTAGAAGTTTCTCTGTGTGGTAGACCCTCACAGCCTTCCTGATGGCATGGTCCGTCTCCTCTGTCTTCATCTGGCCCTGGGTATGTATATAATGTGTATTGGGTTTTTTTTTTTTCCTTTTGAGTCAGAGGTCTCTCACTGAACCCAATACTCACAGATCAGCTAAACTAGCTGGCCAGCAGCTCAAAAAGAAACTACATGTCTTCATTCAGGATCCTCCCCACTGCCTCATGACTACACCTAGCCTTTTTTTTTTTTTTTTTTTCTCCCTAAACTCCTTAGATACTGGGAATAAGAACTCAGGTCCTTGTGTTTTCATGGCATACACTTTATTGACTGAGCCATATCCCCTGTCCCCTTCATTTACCCCCCAAAATATTTTGTCTACTTGCTTGTGTGTGTGTGTGTGTGCGCGTGTGCGTGTGCGTGTGCGTGTGCGTGTGCGTGCGCGTGCGTGTGCGTGTGCGTGTGCGTGTGTGTGTGTGTGTGTGTGTGTGTGTGTGTGTGTCTGATCCACAGCGCGTGATGTGTTGGAAAGCATGGGCTACTATGACAATGTAGAGGTCAGAGGACAACTTTGTGGAGTTGGTTCTCTCCTTCTGCCTCTCTGTGGTCTCTGAGACTTGATCTCCCATGCCCAGGCTGACACAGCAAGCACCTTCTCACTGCTTGGCCATCTCACCAGCCCTTCATTTGCCTTTTTTTCTTTCCAGTTAATCGTCCACCACATCTTCCTGGGCTGGGCCTAGGCCCTTCCCCATGTGTCTAGGGCAAGAGTGCATCCCTTCACATGGGATGGGCTCTCAAAGTCCCTTCTTACACCAGGGAAAATACTAATCCACAACCAGGGCCCTCCTAGAGTGCAGAGGTCTCCTCATTGACATCCATGTTCAGGGGTCTGGATCAGTCCTGTACTGGCCTCCCAGATAGCATCTGGGGTAGTTGTGTTCCCCCTTGTTCAGGCCAGCTGTTTCTGTGGGTTTCGCCAGCCTGGTACAGACCCCTTCGCTCTTCATTCCTCCCTCTCTGCAACTAGCTCTTCATTTGTCTTTTCACAAACTCTAGTCTCTGCTTCCTTTAGCCTTCCCTTCTGATTGTCAAATGTCTGATTTATGTTTTAAAAAGAAAACAGGGCTGGGGACCTGAGCCACTTATTCCAGTTCCCTACCCCTAGCAATTCTATTTCCCCCAGGCAATGGGAATAGGAAAACTAATGGGAAAAGTGTCCTAGAGGAAGAGGGAGGAGCCATAAAAGCTTAAATTTCAGGGTACTAACTGTCCACATTGCCTACACTTAGCCTTCTGGGTAATGTGTGCAGTGTGCTGAGGCTCTGGGAAAGCACGGTAGTGAACTTCGTATCAGGTGACAGGCTGCTAAGCCCTCTACATCCCATCTCTGGGGCATCAGGAAACTGCTAGCTCCCTGCACAATGCCATCAGACTGCGGAAGCCAGGAGCTCTGCCTTGGGCACCTGTTCGTGGGCTGAGCACCTGTGCTCTGCACAGTGCTGGACCAGTGCTATGATAGGGTGGAACTCTAGACGTCTAGACTCTGTGGGAAAGCAGGGCTCCAGCTCCAGATTCCCAGGGCTCTAGGGATGTTCCCAAGCATCCTGGTCTCTATCTTCAGGGACATTTGTCCCCAAGACCCGCCCCCCCTCCAGGGTGGGTTCCCACAGGTCTGCTACCTGCCACAGAGGAAATAACTAACTTCCAAATCACTAGTAGTCAGGGGGTGGTGTGGGTGGAGCCCCTTGGCTTAGATGGCTAGGCTGAGGAAATAGACCTGAATTCTCTCATTTACACATTTTCTAATAATATTTACGGTGGCTTACTTACATTCCAGGCACCGAGTTAGCACTTAAACATACCTTGTCATTTTTAAAATAACAGCTTTAAAGTATAATTGACGCATCATACAATTCACTCCCGTAAAGTATGTAACTTCACAGTTTTTAGGCTATTCTGAGCTGTACCACCATTTAATTTTAGAACATATTCTTGTACCCATAAAGAGACTCGGTCCACTTTGCAGTCGGTCACTCCGGGGCTCCCTGCCCCTGAGCTGCTGTAAACAACCAATCTACTTTCCGCCTTATGGATTTGTCCACCCCAGATATTTTAAGCAGGGGGAGCCTTTTATGACTGTTCTTAATGCATGTTGTTTCGTGAGACCATAGTTCACCCTTCGTAGTGCCAAGTAATATTCTACTTTATAGGTATGCACAGTTAATGGGCTTTGGGCTTGCATTCACTTCTGGCTTTTGGGGCTAATGGTGCTGTGAACAGTTATTTTTCTGTTTAAAGCAGCCATCCTAGTGGGTGCGAAGAGGCGTCTCCATGTAGTTTTGATTTGCAAGGCTACCCTGATGGCTAATGATGTGGAGGTACTTTTCATGGATTGCCAAGCCATTCACTTATCTTCCTGGAGAAATGCCTATTCATATCATTGGCCCATTTTAAATTTAATTTCATTTTAAGGCTTATTTTATTTTAAAGTGTGTGTGTGTGTGTGTGTGTGTGTGTGTGTGTGTGTGTGCAAATGCAGGTGCCCATGGAATCCAGAAGAGGACCTCTAATTCCCTAAAAGCTGGGGTTACAGGCAGTTATGAGCCACCTAATATGGGTGCTGGGATCAGAACTCAGTTCCTTTGCAAGAGCAGTAAGAACCCGGGGGCTCCTGACCACTGAGCCATCTCTCAACTCCACCCCCCAACTCCTGTTTTAGTTGGCTTATTTCTTTGTATTGTTAGGTTGTGAGAATCTTTTACATAGCTCGGATAACAATCATTTTCCAATGACTCTTGGATTTGACGAGACAAGTAAAAATAAATTAAGTTCGGGAAGGGGCTGGAATTTTAAGAATCTGTACAGTTCCCGGCAAGGTGACAGAAACCTACCTCAGGCAGACCCTGGGAAGTCAAGTCACGGAACCATCCTTCCTGGAGACTCTTCACTGTTCAATCACACCTCTTCTGAAATCATTGTAGCACCACAGGAGTCCAGGAGTACCATGGACTGGGGGAGGAACACAGGTTGGCTAATACATTGAAGGCAGAACCTTGTGTGGGGGAATTTTTCTTTTTCTTTCTTTCATTTTCTTTTTAAATGCATGGTCTTTTATTCCTTGAGCAAATGAGATGGTACATATAAAAGCATTTGGAATTGTAAAGGGATATGCAAATGTAAGGTGACATTCTTATTGCTACTATTGTTATTGGTGAGAACCAATAAAAGGCCCATCTAGGATGAAGTCACAGAGCTTTGGGGATGGGGTGGGGGAGGAGTGGACTAGGGACAGATGGGGGCAGGGAGGGTGAAAGCTAAAGGAGATGGGAGAGTAGCAGGGCTGGCATACTTTGGCTGTGTGTGTGTGTGTGTGTGTGTGTGTGTGTGAGAGAGAGAGAGAGAGAGAAAGAGAGAGAGAGAGAGAGAGAGAATGAGAGACAGAGAGAGAGTGAGAGAGAGTGGGAGAGAAAGAGAGAGAGAAGGAGAGAGAGAAAGAGAAAGGGAGAGTGAGAGAGAGAGAGAATGACAGAGAGAGAGTGGGAGAGAAAGAGAGAGAGGAAGAGAGAGAAAGAGAGAGAAAGGGAGAGTGAGAGAGAAAGTGTGTGAGAGAGAAAGAGAGAGAGAAAGAGAGAGGGAGGGAGAGAGAGCGAGCCCACGAGCACACAGAGCACCTTGTAATTTCTACTGCATTCCTCCACGACCTGTAAAATTATTCACTTAATCTTTTTCTTTAAAAGGGCTCCTATTTCTTTTCATTAAAGAGCAATGTTTATAAAGGCACCTTTATATACCAGTTGTAAATGACAAACACGCATCATTTTCAGAAGGGAAGGTACCCTATAAAAACAAATGTGAAAATCCGTACAGTGTTATGCAGTTCTGGCTGGATTCCATTGCCTCCTGGGCCTGGAACACTGTCCCCATCTTCTCAACCTGGCTCAGCTCTGTCACTCAGGCTTCTGTTCCAATGGCTCTCCTTTGGAGGCTCTGGGATGTCCAACAGCTCCAGTGTTGGCCTCTGGCCTGGCCCTTGTTATCTGCCTCTTATTGCACTATAGCTTCCTGAGGGCTGTGGGTTCACATTCCTGGAGTGTGTCTGGGCAAGGTGTCATCTGTATTCTTCACCAGCCTCCCTCCTGGCCCTATAGGGGCTGCATGAGGAGCTGAGAGCTCTGAGCTGCTGGGTGGTTCTTTCCTTTGCTTTTGTTGCCCTCTTTCAGCAAGGGTCAGCTGATGCCAAGCTGCTGCACCTTGTATAATCAAGGCATCCGAAAAAAGACTGGATGGAGAAGTACATAGCTGCCAGGGTGGCATCTCAAAGATTCCCAGGCTGCCCTGGGTGTCCCAGACCTGCAGCTTGCTTACCTACCCCCAGAGCATCCCCTAACCTCACCAACTCTACAGTCCCCAGAGCAAGGGAGCAAGAAGCTCCGAGCATGAACCAAAGCAGCTTTTGGCAGATGCACATGAGAATTAGAAGCAGTCAAGTTTGGATGAGGTTTAGTAACTGCCTGCTTCCTTCCAAGCTCAACTTTAAAGCAATATTGTCTGTCCTCTCTCAAGTACTCAATTTGTACCAGGCATTTTGATTAAAAAACAAAAAAGAAGCTACACATTTGTTATTCTTTTTTATCCTTGCAATTTTAGAATTAGGGACTTTTTATAAGTCCCATTTTAGAGATGGGAACTGAGGCTTACAGTAGTTTTATGATTTGCTTAAAGTGACAAAATTCTGTCTTTAACATTTCAAAGTCTAGGTTCTTGATGACCACATGTAATAGCTATTGTCACTAGCTACAATTGGGCAACTCTGGCCTATAGCTCAAAGGCTACATGCATCCCAAGGCCCACAAAGTTATAAACTTACTTAAAATATTATGGGTGTCTCTCTCTCTCTCTCTCTCTCTCTCTCTCTCTCTCTCTCATTCTCCCCCCTCTCTCTTGCAACTTGACTGTACAGTTTTCAAGCCTGAACTTCATAGTTGTTATAATATCAAGGGGTTGGATGTGCCTGTCTTCTTGGTGTATATTCATGCCTCTGTAATGTTACCTCTAGTGACATCGGCTTCCAACTCCAGGGATGTGTGTGCATAGGGTGCGTATATAGAGAGCAGATATTTCGTAGAAGTTGATCCTAAGAGTTGTTCCTCTCTAGGGTCCAGTGACATGCCTGACGCTGGTGACTGTTCAGTAAGTGAAGGGATGAAGCTTAGGCTTCTTTCTGTTAGCATCTACTTGTGTGGAGGAAAGACAGGCAACAAATTCTCTGCAGAATTTCTAGAGAATTCACCACATCAGAGACCCAGGCTCCTCCCAGGACAGTCTGTGGCCTTCTATGTTATAGGCTGAAGGGACTCTTGTGTGTACCACGAGGGTGGGTATGCATAATATCTTGGAGGAAAACAGGGAGAAGATTTCTGGGGGACCCCAGAACTTTAGTGTCAATGGCAGCACTGCTTAGCTTCTCTGTTTTTGGTTTTGTTTTGTTTTGTTTTGTTTTGTTTTGTTTTTCTGATCTATAGTCTGCCCATTCTATCCAACTTTCTGTCCCCCCAAAAAATCAGAGAGTGATGTTGTAGTGTTCAGTCCATTTGCCCTTGGCCAGAACCAGAGCAGCTCCATGATAGGAGCCCTGACTTCTGCCCCACCTTGGTAGAAGCCTTTAACCTCATCTTTGTGTAGCGTCCCTTCATGTCTTCCAAATTTGAATGCACCTTCTGTTCCGATGGGGACTCAGTCTGATGATGTCCAGTGCCCTTCTGATTGCCAAGTCAGGGTCTATGCTTCTCCATCTCAGTAACCCACACCCTGCACAGTACTCAGGCTCTGGCTCTAACACTTAGTGACCCTTTTTTACTTGTCAATAATCACAACCTGCGTCAACTCAGTGAACCCCACAACGGTCCTGCAATTATTATCCCCTTGAAGAGGTAAGGGCACAAAGCATCACAGAGGTTGCGTAGCTTGCCCCAGGTCACACAGTAAGCACGTGGCCGGTCTGGGATTCCATCCCAGGCATTGTGACTCCCTGAGTCAACAGTCTTAAGACTGCTTTTTGGCCTGCCTTTGTTGTTTTGGAGGTGACGTTTCTTAGCCAGGGCACCAAAAGAACCCGTTTGCCAACTCGGGGGCAGAAGGTGGAATGCTGGTCACCGTAGCAACTGAATCAACGGACTTGTACCAGCTGTTGAGCCCTTGGGGCAGAAGTTGTACTGCTGGCAGGAGGAGGCTGGGTTGGCATGGGGCAGTGTTTGAGGTACCAGATGCAGTGGGAGGACCTGGAAGAGTACCAGGTGGGTAGTAAGGTCACAGATTTGGGACAGAAGTAGGGATTTCCCAGGGCAGGAGGGACAAAGAAGAGAACTCTTGCCTGAAGCTCAGGAGAGCAGAGCAGGCCGAAGTGATGCCTCTGCTGAACTTGTATCTATGTTGATTCAGACCAGCACTCTCAACCTCCTCACCCCCACCCCCTGTCCTAGAGCCCAGGGTGTTGTTTGGTTCTGATTGACTCTCCCAGTCTGGGCTACTTTACCTGCTTCCCACGACATGGTATGGTATGTACCATACCCCAGGAGGGTATGGTACCTCTTTGCCCTTGGCTACTACCACAGGCCTGCTCCTCCTGTAGGATGTAGTGCCTTCGTTTCCTCAACAGTACAATGAGAGAATGCCTTCCCTCTCCTGTGGCTCCATGCTCTTCCAGGGGCCACGATAGGGCTGGATCGAGTGACAGGTCACCTCTCTGATTTGTTGCAGGCTCTGACCTTCCTGACAAGAAATGAGATTTTGTGGTGAGTAGAGGCCCTGTCCTCCTTTCCTCTCCTTTGACCTGGGTTCTTTCCTGCTATGACACCACTCTGGCCCTGTGGTGTGACCTCCTGCTCAGAACCACACAGCCTGAGGCAGCATCTGGGATGGACAGGAAGTTGTGAGATTCCACTGGAATAGAAGGACACACCAGACCTGGGCTGCAATGCTGTTACTACCACCGAAGGCCAAGGTTCTTCATAGCTGCTGGGATTCCTTGGGATAATGAGGAAAATGAAGAAAGGCTTAGAAAGTGTAGGTGAGCTTACTTGTGCTAGTCACTGGTTTGGTGAGCTTGGAAGCATTACCGACACTCAGTCTGCTACCTAGCTCCCCAGCTCCTTCCAGGGCCTGCTCTGGAAGGAGAGAATGTGTTCCCAAGCAGGACCCTACCCTGTGGGAAAACTCTTGGCCAAAGACCTCATCATCCAGTATGGAGATGTGACAAATGGCTTCATAGAGCATGGGTGGGATGACTAGGATAGATGTGTTTGGTTAGAGCCAGGTGCTCAACAAACATGTGTTGTGTGCAAAAGTGTGTGGTGTGCAGATGTGTGTGGTGTGCAAACAGATGTGCTGTGCAAAACTGTGTGGTGGTGGTGTGTAAACATGTGGTGTGCAAACCTGTGTGGTGTACAAATGAGCTTTCCAGGACACTCTCAGGAGTGTCAGTAAAGATGGGAAAGGGGGGACCATTTAGACACTGTCCTGGACACACACCCCTTGACCTCATTGGCTTAACCTTCCCTCTAAGCTCACACCCAGCCTGAAGGCCACAAACATTAGACTCTCTAGGCACAGTAGGATAACTAGATGACAAAGGGCTCTGGTGACCAGAGACGATCTTGAGGCTATGTTACTATTTATCTACTTTTTTTCTATATTGGGAACCAAAGCTAGGACTCCATCCATGCAAGCCAAGGACTTACGACTGAGTCACACTCTGAACTCACTTTTTTGTATAGAGGAAATAAAAGGCAAAACTCCAAACTCACCTAATCCCTATTGATGTTTTCTAAGAAGTGATGCATTACATAAAAAAAAAAAAACGAGATGAAATGAAACATTTAGATATGACTAGAAAATTCAAATTGGCCCCATGTTCTAAACGAGAACAAATGTCTCCGTTCTCTCCTGTGGGCACTTCCTCTTGACTCAGCTCCTGCGCACCCAGTTTATTACCCAGGCTCTCAAGAGACTTATCCACACATGGACCTTCATGAATCTCTCACCCATTCACATCATTGCTTCCTGTGTCTGCATCCTATCCCTTTTGTTCTGTACCTTTGCCTTTTTTCTTTTAAGTTGTCCTCTTTGCCACCCGTCCTTCTTCAATGGCTCCGGACCTTTCCCTTGCTTTGATGGACTGTAATTCAATACCAGATCCCGGTATAGATACCTAGCCTGTGGAGTGGTTGTGATGGTGATGGTGAGGACTTGGGGAGAGAGAATGTGGAAGGTACCCATGTTTTCCCTCTTGAGCATTGGTACCCCTATTCTCCTTTGCTCTGTGTTAGCCTCCTGAGCATGAGGTCTGTGAAAGCAAGCTATCCTTAAGGGCCCTTCCTATCTGAACTGACCACCCAGATCTTCAGGTGGCACCTAGCCACATCCTCTTTCCATCCTACTTCCATCCCCATCAAAGGTAGCTATTATGGTTTTGAATGTAAATGTGCCGGCAGGCTCATGTGTTTGAACACTTGATCTCCTGCTGGTGATGCTATTTCAGGAGGTTATGGAACCTTTAGGATGTGGGGCCTCACTGACAAGTGTAGGGCTGTAGAAACAGATCCTGAGTGTTATGGAAACTTATACTTCCTGAGCTCGTTGCTTCTTAATCCACTAGGATTGACTAGGCCAACCCCTAAGTCCCTGTGGCTACAGACCCAGCATCCCAGCTGCCCACCCCAGTCTCCATACTTTTATCCACCATGAAGGGCTGTATTCCTTCCAACCATGAACCAAATAAACTCCCGTAAGTTATTTGTGTTAGGTACTCTGTCAGAGCAATGAGAAAAGTCATTAATACTGTGTCCTTATGTAACAGCCCTGGCAGAAATGAAAATATTTTAATGAGACAGTGTATCTCTCAGTCCATCAGACTATTTAAACAATAGATCCCAAAGCGGTAGGAATTTCCTCTAGGAACCTCATGCTGGGAGAAGGAAAAGGCACAAGCCATAGGGGGAACTTGTCCCCTTGAAAGAGGTTTCACACAGTTCTATCAACTTGTCAAACCACCTTACAGAATGAGACTTGAAAAGCCCAGATAATGATGGGTCAGTGGTGGGTGAGACCACACCTTGACCCTCTCTCTCTGCTGAAGATGACTTGCAAAATGATGGATCCCTTTGTCCCTCTTCTCAATGTGGCCATGTTGAATAAACCTGTTTCTGCTTTGCACTATTAATGTGGCTCTTTTAATTGGCTTATGAAGCACAGGTGACTGGACCAAGCTTGGGACACAGTCTGTGTGACCCCCCCCCCCCCTTTGACAACATTTCCCCTGGAAAAGGTGCAGCTTTAACTGTTCAAATGTTGCTAGGCAAAGCTTTGCATATGCTCAGACCTGTCCCGCAAACTTCTCTTGTAGCTCTTCCTGGCTCACCATGACTGATGGCTTCATTCTGGAGCACAATGTGTCCATGTCTCACAGGCTAGTTCTTGCAAGGAGGCTTCTACCTCTGAGGCCATGGAGAAGAGGAATGGGTAACTGTTGGGTGGAAGATACCTGCCTCATGAAGATATAGTGGAGGATATGGTGCTTAATTCCTACTCTCCATCTGTCTCCACACTGCACACCTTCAAGTAAGATGGACAAGAGTGGGGAGGGGCAGAAACTCCAAGATGGAGGGGTGATACTGGAGAGGGTCCTGCTCCTTCAGTAAAAGTGATACCCCAGCTCAAGGATATCATAGCTTGAGGAACAGTTGAAGATATGGAGAAGGGTCTCAAATGACAAGATGCTCAACTGCTGTGGTTCAAAATGAAAAAAGATACTTTGACTTGATCATTCTATTCGAGTCATGATGGCCCAGGAAAAACCGGTGCTGATTCACCCACCCAGTTGGATGCTGTGTTGAGTGGCTGGAATTTCCATGGAGAACCTTAGAAGTATAACGTTCAAGATTATAAGATTAAATTAGGAAAGCAAAGGGCATGGAACTTCCAGTTAATATGGAACATGGTGTATCACCCATGTCTGTTCCCTCTACCAAAGGGAGAGTGAAGACATGTTTTTAAAAGAAGAAATAATCCTGTAAGCACAAAAAGAAAACCATATATGAGGAAGGAAAGCCAACAGAAATAAGAGAAGTACCAAGTAAATAGTCCCTGAACCAGACTTAGCTGAGAATGAAGCTGAAACAACCCTATCTGTAGGGTCTGGAGTGATAGACTCAAAACCCAGAAAATCCAAAGGAGCTTGGAATGCCCTGGTACAGTCAGGTGAGAACAGAAAGGGAGGTCGAGGGTATCAGGCAAGTCTACCTCTTGCCCTGTGATCCACTTGGGAGTCTTGCCTCATTCTATCCAGTGGAGGAGGAGCTCACATCTGGATAAGAGTTATAGCCAGGCTGACTGCTGGGGCCACCAAGAGCAGGGGGATCTTCCACTCAACCTGCAAAGTCTTGCTGAAAGTCTGGCTTGAAGGCCAAGGATCGATGCTACATGTCAAGAGTGAACAAAAGAGCCTACGTGTATGATCCTGCCTTCATGACATTTCAGGGTGCCAAGATAATGGGGAAAAAGGGAGAGGAAAAAAAGAGTCCATACACAGTGGGTATATGGAATCAGAACAACTCTGGGCTTACACTGGGAGACACAAGTCCTTCAAAATTCTTAGGAAAAAAAATTTCCAATATAGAATAAAGTCCTGGATAAACTATCAATCAGAAATGTAAGTGGGACAACAATATTTTTTACATGCATTTAAAAAATATTTGAGGCAGCTTTTTGAGGACCTGCTTTGCTAAAATTAGTAATCAAACTGGAAGAAAGACAAAGGACCTATGGAAAAAAGGATTTTACCATAGAGAATGGGAAAATTAATTACAAGGATGGCGAGAAAGAGAAAAGCTTGAGCAGAACAATGGAAACAGACCTGGAAGAGAGTCAGTCCTTTACAGCACTGTAGAAAGTTTGGCAAATGAGCTAACGATAGGCATGCTACAATCTAAGAAAAAGAAAACAAAGCAATGGTTAACTCTGGGAAAAACAAAGGGCGTCACAAAAAAAAAAAAGAAAATGTAATCATGTTACACAGGGAAATCAGCTGAGAGCAATGCTTGAATAATAAATAAAATATAATAGTAATACGGTAAATACAGAATATCGATTCAGGCAAATTGTTTTAAATTGGGACATTGGGAAAGGAGACTTATATAGAGAAATAAATCCTCTTAATAGGGGCATGTCGCAGGATAATGTCTATAATGAAACGGTACTGACAAGTGCTAGCATTAGTACAGTACTTAGAAGTGTTGTATAAATATTAAGAAAAAAAACAAGAGGAAACAATAAGCTGTTTGTAAAATGCCTCTGGAGAACAGGGTAGAGAAGTGTGGGGTGAGGAATATATGTCATCCTGACTGTAGGCTTTATAAGTGCTTATGTTTTTAGCCTATTGCAGCATATTGCTTTGGCAAACTAGACTGAGAGATACAAGATGCTACTGGTCTCCGAGGTGAGGGATGTTTACACACAGAGACGTAGGAAAATACCCAGAAGGGTATACACAGACTGTCGACAGGCCAGCTCCTCAGAGGCAAGTTGGGACTTGAACATGTCTGAGTTAGCGGTGCATCATGGGTAAAGGGAAGAAACGGCTTAGATATTGATGCATAGTGTGGGCTCAGAAAGTTCTTGGCTCACAATATGTGGAGGAGAAAGGGTCCCCATGAGCTGAGGTCCAGTTGGACCACACCAAGCCCCGGTCACTTTTGAACAGTTTTCCCTTAAGTGGCCTCAATGATAGTCCAGTTGA